TCGCGTGTTCACAACGGTGGGATGCCTATTTTTTAAAAAGTTAAAGAAATTCAGGAAAGCCCAGGAAATGTACGTGGGTGTCTGTCGTGGTGCAACGAGGGCCTCGGCGAATGTTCCCTCCTGGCTGCTGTCCACCTGGAGATGCGGGGTTGAGGGGAGGGTGGACAGCGAGGGTTGGGGCGGGGTGATGAGGACCGGCAGGCCCCCTCCCGCCCTGGGGAGTCCCCCAGGATGCCCGTGATCTCTGGGGGTCGGCGGCCGCCGCTGCCTGTTCTCCTGGCCTTCCACCTTCTCCTAACAAGCAGAGGTCCCCGCCGGCTTTCAAACAGCTGCTCCCGCTCCCGCCGCTCGGGCCCCTGGGGAGCCTCCTGGCCTCCTGGCCTCTCCTCATTGAGAACAGATTCTAATGCCCACCCCCCCATCTCCTCCAGTCATTGCTGCTGTCAGCTGCCTCCCCGCCCGGCTTAATCAGGCAGCAGGGAGGGGCAGCATCGTGCGGGGGCCCTTCCGTGAGCACCTGGGGGATGCTGTCTCCTGTGATGTCTGCCCCGGCCACGTTTGGAAAAGCAGGGTTGTGAGCCCCGTGCCAGGGAGGAGGGCACAGCCGTGGGCCCAGCATCACGCAGCTCACCCTGGAGGCCCGAGGCTGGGATGCGCCAGAGGCTGGGACAAGGAACGGGGCTCCACCCTGCCAGCGGATGCTTGTGTGGACCCTGGGCCTCCAACCCTGGAGGTCAGACTTGACCTGGAGCTGGGCCAAGGCCCTGCCCCTGGGTGCAGCGTTGGTCTGGGGCCTGGGGGCCACACATGGGAAACACGTGGGCCCCAATGGCTCCCCCAGTGGTTTTGGCTTTCAAGGAAAACAGCAGTTCAAGACGAAGATGCTGGAAACGGGCGAGTGAGAGTTATTCTGGAATCTCACTTCTGCTAGCCCAGCCTGCGTCCTGGCCTCTGTCCACGCTGCCCTGTCTCTCCTCCAGGAAGCGTGACCTCTTAGCAGGGACAAAAGCAGTGCCTGTGTCACAGCCGGTGCAGGGGACCACACGAGACGTGGGCTGCGCAGGGGTCTCGGATAATTCCCGTAGGTGAGAGGAGCCCTCCGCCCTCCAGGGCTGTGGCTACTGTGTCAGTTTGGGTTCCCCCAAAAGTAGACCGAGGATTTGCGTGGGTGTTTAGGAGGGAGGTCGATTCCAGAGGTGCACTGAGGAGCAGCTGTCCCCGTGCGCCACCAGCCTTGGATCACCTAGGGCAAGAATGGCAGGACACACCCCCGACCTGTCCCCAGGTCCACCCGTCCTGGCTGTCTTTGGCTGAAGGCCATGAGGGCCGGCCCTGGCCAGAGAGGTGCCCCTGGGGAACTGAGTCAGGCCCACGGGGGCTGGAGACGGGAGCTGCCCTGGTTTCCTTGCCCCTGCCAGCTCCAACAGTGGCCGTGGCTGCCCACGCCAGGCCTCACACAGGCCAGCACTGGGGCAGACTCAGCCCAGGCCTGTCAGGGGCCAGAGGTGTGGACAATGACCGCACAGTGAGGTGAGCACCCTTGCCTCTCAACCCAGATGCAGCAGGTTCAGCTTAGCCTGGGGGCTGAAAGGGCTTCCTGGAGGAAGTGACATTTCCCTAGCCAAGCACTCAGTTTTGCTGGAGCATAAAGGGCTCTCACCTCCTTCTGTCCCCGGCTCCCCAGAGCTCCTGGGCCCAGGGCACCTGCTCTTTATCAGGGTCAGGGTCAGGGAAGGAGCTATTGGTCACCTCCCCGCACCCCATGGGAGTCCCCACCCGAGACTTCCTAAGTTGGGAGCTCCTAGAGGTCCCCCCCTTGCTTGCTGGGCTTCCCTGCAGAGCCCCTGGGGAAGAGGAGACGGCTGCCCTGGGGTCAGCCTCTGACCCCCACCTCTGTTCCCCAGAGGGCGTGTGGGCTCCTCCGGGACCGTCACTCATTGGCAGGCACGGCTCAGATTTGGAAACGCTGTTAATGACCTGTGCTTGTGTCTGCTTTAATTATTGTCATGTTTTCTATGCACTTCACGCAATTTAGTAAACAGGCAGGGAAACAAGATTGGGGTGGGGCCAGGGCTCAGGAGGGGCTGGGCTCTGCCCCCAGCCAGGGCGGCACCCTCTCCAAACCCTGTCATTCATGAGCACACCCATTCATTCTCTCTCTCCCGTGCTCATTCACTCACTCCCCTGTCAGGTGCTCATTGATGCATTCACTCCGTCCCTCATCGACTCAGGGACTCACTCGCTCATTCATTCATTCACTTGCCCAGGGAGTACTAGGAAGGCAGCCACATGGCGGGCTGCAGAGCAGGTGCCAGGAAGCAGTGGTAAAAAGAGTCGTCAGCCTCTGCTCTCTCGGAGCTGACTGTGGCGGGGGAGACAGATGATAACCACCCGCGGTGGTCACAGGTGGAGCTAGCATAGTTGTGGGGCGGGGCGGGGCCGGGGGGGGGGGGTCCTTGGAGGAGCCACGTGTCAACCCACTCCCTGATTGTTTTCATGTGTTTGTTCATCTGTTTGGGCAGCAAAGATTCTGTTCTTGGAGAGGGTAAGAGCGGGAAGGCCAGGTCCTCGGGAGCCAGGAGCGGGAGCTGCAGCTCTGGCTGGAGGGCTCCTTGGGAGGTGGTGAGCACTCGGGCCTTGAGACACAGCCTGGGGCCCATGCACCGCTTCCCAAAAGGCGCCGCCAGACCCCCGTGCTGGGCATGGTGGTGGGAGGTTGGAAGAGGGGGAAGAAGTCTGAGGGCTAAGTGTCCCCCCACCCCAGCCCTGCCCCAGAGCCGCCTGGAATTTCTGCTTGCAATTGGAGGGAGCTTGGGAAGGCAGAGGACACTCCGAGGTGGGCCTGTCCCGGGCGGAGGAGGGAGCTGGCATGCTTACAGAGCAGCAGAAGGTGGCAGGGGGAAGGAGGGGTGCCCCAGGTCCCAGAGGTGGCAGACCAGGTGGCTGCCTCCCAGGGGACCAGGGGAGCGGTGCTCAGTGAATTCTGAAAGCAATGGGGCGCCATCGATGGTCTGTGAGCTGGGGAGGCCCCTGTCATGTCGGGATTATTCACAAATGTGTGTGGGGGCAGGGCAGTAAGTGAGCCGTGACCTCTGACCCTGCAGAGCCAGTGACTCCAAGCAGCAAGCAGATTAGGGCTAGATGGGGGAGGGGGAGGGCCTGTCAAGGTGACTGCCCCACATGGCCGGGCGCCCAGAGAAGGGGTTAGGTCAACACCAAGAGCAACTGGAATTGGTCCAGCTCGTCCTGGCTGTGCGTCCCTGGCATCACCCATCAAGCAACAACAAAGGTGGTGATGGGAGCGCGGCCGCAGGCACAAATCACGCACACCCATCTTATGCCGCTCCCTCTCCTCCCAGCGCTTTCCCTAGGTCCGTGCATCTCAGCAAACCGCCCTGTGAAGCAGGCAGCACTGTCGTTGTCCCCATTTGACAGATAAAGACACAGAGGCCCAGCAGCTGGACGGCTTCTCCAGGGACGAAGCGGCCGAGCCGGGGTGTGAGCCCAGCCCCTCAGCCCCTCCACTGCAGGGCTGGGCACGGGGCACCAGGAACAGGTGCCCATCCGGAGCAGCCCGGCCGGTCCTCTCCCCCAGGAAGCCTCGGCTGCCGCCCTCGCCTGCTGCCGGCTGAGGCTGCCGTCTTGTGAAGCCAGAACCGCAGCAAGATTCTCCTATTAATTTATTGGTATTGCTAATTAAACATCATATTCGCAAATGTAAATTTCCTAATGGCCTCCCTTCCATTTCCGTAGTTTCCTAAAAGAGCCTTCTTGTTTCGCTGGCAGTGGAAGCCAATTACTTCTCACTCTACGGGGGCTGCGGCTGGCGCGGGGGTCACCAGGTGTGGGGGGGTCGGGGGCCAGGCCCTGGCCGGGGGCCTTTCCAGACCACGGGGGAGCACAGGGGTGATGGGGCAGGCCCAGCCCGAGCCATTGGGTGTCAGCTGCCCTGTCTCAGATGTGCCCTCGGCTCCAGGGGCTCCGCCCTCTGCCCCCAGCGTGGCTGCTGGCCTGGGCCTGGAGCTGTTTGCAAGGCTGTGTGAGGGAGGCGGGGGATGGGGGGGGGACGGTCCAGCCCAGTCCTCGTGTGAAAAATGGGTTTGTGAAGGCACAGGGGGAGGAAGCGACTCGCCCTGGCTCCCAGAGCCCCCCGCTGGGGGTCTGACGTGCTCCGGCCCCTCCCCCACAACAGGTACATGCAGGAGCCAAGTCCCCCAGACAGGTGCCTGCAGGAGCCAAGTGATTGCAGGACCTGGCTCCGTATCACAGTGATCTTTAACCCCCAACTTATCCCACAGAGGTGTTTAAGTCCCACACGCAGCCGGTTCTCCGCGCCTCTGGGCCTCAGTCTCCTCACCTATAAATGGGTCAATAGTCTGTCCAACCCAGGACGTGTGAGTGTGGTTACGCCTGAGCCCCACCTGCTTCCACCACAGGGGCACAGGCTCTAGGCAGTCCTAGGCCAGGCTGCCAGGTGGCCCCTGGGAGGCCGGGAGCAGGTTAGGCCACCAGGCCTGTTGGCTTGACCTCATCTTTGCTATAATGGCCCTCGGTGACTCAGCACAGTACCAGGACGTCACATGCGTCCTCTCTGAAGCCTCGGGAGTCCACGATGTGCCTGGCCTGGGTGCCCCGGCCGACGGCCCCTCTGACCCCAGAGTCTGGGCTGGCAGCTACTCTGTCTTCCCTGAGCATCACCACCATGGGTAAGAACACACAGTGGGCCGGAGACTCCCTGCTCTGTGGCTCCCTGGTGGCCGACCGTGACCTTGTCCCCCGGCACAGCGGGGACGCCAGGCCTGGTCTGAGACAGGTCAGAGAGCACTGGGGGCCTCTGCTGACCAGCGACACCAGCGTGCGCCCCGAGGTCGGCATGCCCCCCACACCCCCAGCCCAGCACAGCCCTGGAGGTTAGGGCAAGGGACGGGACGTGCAAGGGGCGCTGAGTCCCTGGGCCAGGGCCTCAGCGAGGACCCGGTGCCCTTGTGCCAGTGCCTCTGGGAGAAGCTGGGAGTGTGGCAGGCAGGGAGGGGCCGTGAAGGCACCGCCCAGTGCCAGGGAGCGTCGGAGCCAGCTGCCCTCCACAGCCCACGCTGCGTGCGTCCGTGCCTTCGGGGGCCGTGGGTAATGGGAGTGTCTCGTTGCTGCTTGGGAATCTCCATTAGGCAAAGCTCTTGTTTATTATTCATGGTAACGACTCAGTTCCCATCGTGTCCTGGGCTTCCCCGGTGCTGGGGTGGAGCCGCAAGACGGAGCACCTGTGTGGAGACCGAGTGGGGCTCCAGGCACCCTGCTGAGCCCTGGGTGCCCAGATTTTCTAAAATTGTTTTTCTGTTGTGGCAAAATATGTAGAACATGAAACTTACCAGCATAGGGGCCAGCGCGTGGTGCGGTGGGTTAAGCCACTACCTGTAATCAGAGCAGCAGTGCAAGTCCTGGCTGCTCCACTTCCGATCCAGCTCCCTGCTAATGTGCTGGGGCCCCTGCACCCATGTGGGACACCCAGATGGAGCTCCTGGCTCCTGGCTTCGGCCTGGCCCAGCCCGGGCCATTGCAGCCATTTGGGAGAGTGATGGAAGAGTTCTCTCTCTCTCTCTCTCTCTCTCTCAAATAAATAAATCCTTAAAAACTCAGCAGTGTAACCATTTCAGAGCAGTCAGTGGCATCAAGTTCACGATGCTTGGCAGCCATCTGGTTCCAGAACATTCTCATCACCCCAAAAGGACACCTCAAGCCCACGAAGCAGTCACACCCCAGCTTCCCAGCCCCGAGCCCCCAGCCACCCCTGCCCTGCGCCTGACTCTGGAGCCGCTCTCCTGGGCCTTTCACAGCCGTGGACTCAGACACCCTGCACCCTGCACCTGCGCCCTGTGGCCTGCGGCTCTCCCACCGAGGCTGCCAGTGGCCAGGTTCACCTGTGGGGGCCGTGCGTCTGTGTGTCGTCTCCTGCTGCAGCTGAAGACTTCCTCGGCCTAGACTGACCCGATGCTGTGTATCCAGACCCCCTGTGAATAGCACTGGTATCACATTGACTTTCTACATTTTTATTTATTTATTTGCACAGAGAGAGAGAGAGCAAGAGAGCATGTGTGTGTCAAAGAGAGCTCCTCTCAGCTGCTTCACTCCCTAAATTCCCAGGTGGAAACCAGGAGCCTGGAACTCCATCTGGGTCTTCCCTGTGGGCGGCAGGGACCCAAGCACCTGCGCTGTCACCTGCTGCCTCCCAGGGGTGCGTTAGCAGGACACTGGCATTGGGAGCAGAGCTGGGACTTGAGCCCAGGCCCTCCGACATAGTCTAGGACCCTAAGGACCAGGGTGCTCTCACTGGGCAGGTGGGCTCCCCCAGACCCTGCCCTGGGGGCCCCGTGCTGAGCTGCAGACAGCTGGGGGGTGGGGTGGGGCTGAGGATCACTTCTCAGACCCCTGACCCTGCTCCTAGGATGGGTGCTGAGTGAGACTGCTGGAGGGCCCTTGTCACGTGGCTGTCGTGGAGTCAGGCAGATGCAGGGGCACAGGCCACAGACACAGGCCCTCAGAGTTAAGGCCTTCGTGCTGTCCAGTTCCAGGGCCACCCGGCTGCATTTTTAAGATGGGGAAACGGAAGCCAGGGAAAAGAGGCGACCTCCTCATCAGCGTCGCCATCACCAGTGCCCTCCCGGCTGCCACGGATGGGCCGGGCATGCCAGTGTCCTCAGCATGCGTTCCCTTACGCTGTGCACTGCCGTCACCCCCACTGAACGGAGGACAATGTGAGGGCTCGGAAGTGAAGCCATCACACAAGACCCGGGAGAGGGATGGACATTCTCAGATGTCCCCAAAAGGAACCAGACGTCTTGCAGCTGCACCTGCGCCGCCGTGGCGAGTGACAGCTGTCCTCCAGGTGGGCACGGAACCATCCTCTCCCATCTCTCCTGCCCCCAGCCCAGCCCCAAGCCAGAGCGGAGGGGGCGTGGCCAGGGCGGGAGCACAGACGTGGGTACAGCCCCAACTCTGCTTCTTCTCACCTCAGTGTGTCCATGGGGGAAGGGGTCTCCCTGACACCCTGCCTACGGCTGCCTGAAGAGTTACAGGAGTTGAGGTGCCTTTGGGGCAGGTATGGAGTTGGGCACACGGTGAGTGTTCCAAGTGTGCAGTCCCAACAGGCACCCGGAGCCTCCATCATGGGTGACGTGGGTGACGGAGCTCGGTGGCCGCGGGCGGGCGATCAGGGACCCGCCGCGGGGAAGGCGCGGTGCTCACCGTCTCCCTGGGATAATCAGAGAAGACACCACCTTAATTCCACCTCCATCAGACCTCCGCCGGAAGACACGACCCTTTCACCTCATCAATATTCAGGCGCTTAACAAAAAAAGCTATAACTAGGGAAGTCAGAAATAATGGAATGCAGTATTGATTATTTTATGGTGCGATTAGGGGTAATTACATCTCTCAAATTTTATTTTAATGTGACTTTCTACTACTTTTAGCCATTAAAAATTATCCCAAACAGCCCCACGTAATGGAACACACAAGCCTTCCATTTCAATGTGAAATACTTTTTTCTGCTAAAGTGTGACCTCAATATATTTGAAAACATAAATTACGCTATGTATAAACCATAAAAAATGAATGATGAATTTAATTCTGGTGAAGCGCGAGGGAACGAGGAAGCAGGTGGGCGGTGTCGCTGTTTACCCAGGGCGGAGGGGACGGTGGGAAGCGGGGGGTGGGGGTGGGGTGGGGGTGGCCGCTGCCAGATCTCCCGGGGCGCAGGCCATAGGGCTCAGAGCTGCATCGGACACACACCCCAGGACCCCTGCTGGCCTCGAGGGGGCTCCCAGCAGCAGCCGCTTGCGCTGCGGCCCCCCTCTTCCGAGGACGGGCCTGGTGCAGGGGCCGGTCTGGTGTGTGCCCCCGGGCCTCGCTCCGCCTGACTGAGAGGAGCGTGCTCCGGTCGCTGATACGCTGTTGCTCCACTTCCCTGGTTCCGTTTCACAGAGGAGCAAACTCCCTGGAAGGGACCCGCCAGTCAGTGCAGCAGTGCTGGGATGGCTGCAAACCCACGAGCTTCCGGGAGTCAGAGAGAAGGGGTTAGGGCAGGTGCTTGGGCTACAGGTTAGATGCTGCCCGGGACACCTGCCCCATAGAAGACTGCCTCTGTGGTTTCCCGTGACTGCTCTTGGCTTTGCCCTTGAAGTCCACGTTCCGCCCAGACCCCAGACTCGTCCCGTTTAGGGATCAGCTGGTCACTGTCATTCCTCTGCTCACTGTCCTCCTACACCACCTGTGTCTCTCAGGGAGGAAGTTCAAGTCCATCCACTAGAGCTCAAAAAATGGTCGCCCAGGGTGGTGCCGTGGGTAAAGCCGCCACCAGTGACGCTGGCCTCCCATACGGGCACTGATTCATGTCCTAGCAGCTCCACTTCAGCTCAAGCTCCCTGCTAACGCTCCTGGGAAAGCAGCGGAGGTTGGCCCAAGTGTTTGGGCCCCTGCAACCTATGTAGGAGACCTGGATGAAGCGCCTGGCTCCTGGCTTCAGCCTGGCCCAGCCCCAGCTGTTGTGGCCATTTGAGGAGTGAACCAGTGGATGGAAGACCTCTCTCTCTCTCTCTCTCTCTACCTTTCAAATAAATTTTAAAATAAAAGATTTGATTAAGACACCATTTGGGAAGCCTACATCCGTATTAGAATGCTCCTGGTTCTAGCTCTGTTCTCTCCATTGACTGTG